TAGGCTAAGTCGCAGCTTATATAAGAATGAAACATTTACTTTTTCTGGAAATTAAATATGTTTTTCACGAAAACGTGAGGATTTGTGTCACTTCAATACCTCATATTGTGTGTCAACATTTACGTTAAGGGAAAAGTACTTTTGTCGCTAAAATAATTTGTTTTTATGTAATCTGGCTCTTAGTTATGCATTGGAAAAATTTTTACAGAATCCTAGTCTTCGCTTGCGGTCATCATCTGAAAGTTGCTGCTTAATTTTTAATTTGTATGCATGAAATTTGTTTTTAGCCAACACTCGGTGTACTGTCCTTTAATTGATTCCACAAATAGGCTCAACTTGGGCTGAAGAAGAAGTATTGTTCACCACCATGTCTGTAATAATGTCAATTTTTTTGTCATCACTTTGTTGGTCGATCAGATCATTTGGCATCTTGAACATTATCTGTTTCTTCAAATTTCTGATGAAACTCTCTTATATAAGACCTCGATATAGCGCGATTCGTGTATTTTTCATTAAAAAGACGTTGCGCTGCATGGAAATTGTTGCTACATTCACCAATTATTAAGACACTATTCAGTACATATCATTCTACCTATATAAATATTTAAACATCTCTTTAAAAAATAATCAAACTAAATATTTAAGGCGTAAACAGATTTACACAAACTTAGGGAAGTGAAAACAACTAAACAATTAAAAAACGTCAACTTGTTTGACAAATAACCCGTTGTTCAAAATCAACTTAAACTCAAACAAAATTTAGTATGATTAAATTGGTTTTTTTTAACGAGATATCACTTGCAATAAGGTCCCATGTTATCGGTCATAGTGGTTCTGTGACGTCATCTATGACTACTACGTCACCTGTTACGACTAGTTAAGGAGCCTACATCCAAATTTCACTATTATAAGTTCAACCATTCAAAATATACGACGGAGGGAGTGAACTGTTAGCTGTCACTGTATATTAACTTTGAGTGAGAAGACTCACTCAAAGGGTGAGAGAGGGGTGTATTCTGTAACATTTCCGTTTAATTTAAGAGGCCTCTAAAATTTAACTTTGAACGGTCCTCTTAAAATTTTAGGTCTTCTTCTTTCAGTGCCTATTCGTTCCGAATATTGGCAATCATTCTGGCTATAATTATTTTATTGACTGATGCTTTAAATAGATTCGTTGTTGTTGTGGAGAACCATTTCCTCAGGTTCTTCAACCATGATATTCTCCTTCTCCCAATTCCTCGCTTTCCGAATGCTTTACCCTGTAGGATTACCTTCAGTAATCTGTATTTAGTGCTGTTTCTCATTATATGTCCGAGATATTCCAACTTTCTTCTTTTAATGGTATACATCACCTCTCTTTCTTTGACAACTCTTCGTAATACGGTTTCGTTGGTTATCTTGTCTGTCCATGATATCCTTAGAATTCGCCTGTATAGCCACATCTCGAAGGCTTCAAGTTTTTTCTCCATTGCTTCAGTTAGTGTCCAGGATTCAACTCCGTAATACAATATTGAGAAGATATAACATCGTAGGAGCCTTACTTTTATCTCCAGATTAAGATTGTGGCTTTTAAAGAGTTTGGCCATGTTATTGAATGCACTCCTAGCCTTCTCTATTCTACATTTTATTTCCTGTGAGTGATCCCATTGTACATTTACTGTTGTTCCAAGATAGTTATACTGTTTTACTCGGTCCACTGGTGTATTATTGATAAGTAGTTGAGCGTCTCTAACTTTATTTTTGCTGATGATCATAAATTTATTTTTTGTTATATTTACTTGAAGTCCAAATCTTTCACTTACTTCATTTACTTTGTTTATTAGTTGCTGTAAACTGTTCAAACTGTCTGCAAAAATAACGGTGTCGTCTGCATAACGGATGTTGTTTAGGCGTTCTCCATTTAGAAGTATTCCATGTTCGCATTTTTCCAAGGCTTCACTAAATATTTCCTCTGAATATAGATTAAATAATATAGGTGAAAGTATACAACCTTGTCTAACGCCTCGTAGAATCTGGATTATTTCCGTTGGTTCACCTCCAAAATTCGTTCTTATTGTGGCTGATTGGTTTCAGTATAAATTTTGTATTATACGCCGATCTTTATCATCCATTTGGGCTTTTGTTAGAATATCCATCATTTTTTGGTGTTGAACTGTATCAAATGCTTTTTGGTAGTCCACAAAGCAGGTGTAAATATCGCAAGTCATATCTCTGCATCTTTGAAATAATACTTGTAGACTAAACAGTGCATCTCTTGTACCTACGCCTTTCATGAATCCAAACTGTGTGTCTTGTATTCTCTCTTCGCATAGCTTGTATATTCTACGATGTATAATTTTAAGAAAAAGTTTTAATGTATGGCTCATTAGACTTATTAGCCGATATTCTCCTCACTTTTTTGCTCCCTGTTTCTTTGGTAAGGTAATAAATTCTGAAAGTAGCCAATCTTTTGGGATATTGCCTGTGTCATAGATATTATTGAAGATTTTACATAGTACTCTTAAAGATTCATCATCAAGAAGTTTAAGAAATTCGGATTGTACTCCGTCTGGTCCTGGAGCTCTACCTTCTTTTAGTGATATTATGGCTGCTCTTATTTGCACTAGTATAGGTGGTCCTGTTTCCGTAGGTATTGGGGGCTGGTTCTCTCTCTCTCATCAAAAAATAAATTTCTTATGTAATTTTTCCAGGTATCATTGATACTCTCTTTGTCCACGATTATCTCTCCATTGTCATTAACAAGTTTACTTATTCTTCTGTTTTTACATTTACCTGTAATTTCTCTTACCTTCTTATGTACGTTGAAGTCGTCGTATTTACTTTGGAGAATTTCGATTTCTTGGCATTTTTTCTCCAGTTCTTTCTGTTTGGCTTCTCTGATCTTTCTCTGTATCTCTCGCTGTAATGTTTTATACATGGAGTATACTTGACTATAACGTTCTTGTTTTCCTTCTTTCTTCCATTAGTTGCAGAATCTCTGTCGCCATCTATGTCTTATTCTTACCTTCTTCGTTCTTCATAAAATTGTCTTCAATGTCGTCTATTGTTTTCTTAAATTTTAGATAACATTGACATTGACATTAAAAATTTTAGGTAAATTGACATTCTATAAAGAAATATTATAAAGGACCGCTAAAATATATTTTTTTAGAGGAATCCTCTAAAAAGTTTTCGATCAGATAAGGCAACGTCGCACGTTAATGGTGTTAAACTACTTATAAGGTAAAAATTGACCAAAAACTAAAAGTTGGAGGCAAAAAACTTAAGAAAGAAGACGAAATTGATAGTCTGCTTGACTTGTTATTTTATTATTATTGAAAATATATTTCAGTTTATTTGTGTTCGAGTTGATTTTATTTTCGTTTTAATAAAATTTTATTATGTCTCGTGCTCCACGAACAACAAAATCTCAAAAAGAGTTTTTGATAAGTTTTTTTTAAGGAAAATAAAATTCTAACAGGAATACCATTAATCCTAAATGAATTGGAAAAAGTCCATGTGTTATGGGAAAGGATTGATCATATTATATCGGATTATCTCTTGATGTAATCTGAATTCAGCTCTACAAAAAGAATAAAAAATTTTAATTTTGTTATAGATGTAACACACGGATTTTAAAGTAAACTGAGAGTTACCTTTTATTATTATTTATTATTTCATCAACTAAAAGCTTTACCAAATATATTATAAAAAGCTACTTGTCTTTTTTAATTGTTTATCTGCAGTATAATATATATGCAACGCCTAATGCAACGCCTTAATGAACGCTGTCATGAGTACGGACTGAAGATAAATTTAAAGAAAACTAAATGCATGATCATGACTAAATCTGCACATGCAAATATCCAATTGACTATCGAAGATACTGCAATTGAGAAGGTTAATAACTATAAATATTTAGGAACATGGATAACATCAGATGTAGACCAAACCAAAGAAATTAAGACACGTATTGAAATAGCACGTACATCATTTATTAAACTTAAAAAGTTTCTTTGTTGTCGGGATATAAGGTTAGAACTACGCCTGAGAATGCTTCGATGTTACGTGTTCTCTACTCTTCTTTATGGTCTGGAAGCTTGGACACTCAAACAAGTTCATCTGAATAAGCTGGCCGCCTTAGAATTTTGGTGTTACAGAAGAATCCTACGAATATCATGGATTCAAAGAATGTCAAACATGGAAGTAACTAGAAGGATAGGAAATGAGGCGGAAATAATATTAACTATTAAAAGACGAAAACTTGAGTACTTAAGACATGTGATGAGAGGGCAAAAATATGCATTATTATAACTTATTATGCAGGGCAAAATCCGAGGAAAGCGAAATGTGGGAAGAGTAAGAATATCCTGGCTTAAGAACTTAAGGGAATGGTTTGAATGCAGTAGTGCAGAACTTTTTAGAGCGGCAGTCAACAGAGTCCGCATAGCCATGATGATTTCCAACCTTCGATAGAAGATGGAACTTAAAGAAGAAGAAGAAGAAGTATAATATATAAATAAAAAACTAATAATCATATAAATTTAACCAAACAAAGATAATCAAATGATATTTAAAGGGCGCTAAAAATAGGAGGACAAGTTTTGATATCCTCCAAAATATTCTGTTTTAGCGGGAGTTTTAACGGTTTAGGTTATGATTTTAACGGATGCATAAGTTACAGAATACAAAAATAATTTTAGCGGACGCTAAAATTTTAGAGGCCTCTAAAATTTAACGGACTGGTTACAGAATACACCCCATAGAATCCTTTAAATCCAATAAACCAACATCAAAACAATCGTCTTGAATAAATAACTGGAAACAGTAGTTTTTAGTGTTTTATTTATAGAACAGACGTACATCAAATGTTAGCAGAATCAACCATTTATATAGATAAGTGAAATGCTGAAATTTGCTTCTAAACTTGGAAAATAGGAGGAAAGCGCGCATGTTTTCGGGCTCTTCCCGCCGATATATAACTTTAAAAATTAGCAGTTTGCAGACAGTCGCTTTTCACTGTTCGTTGTGCTTTAAATCATCACGCGGATGGCGAATAGGGTGACTCTTGTTTAAAAATAAATAAATAGTTAAAATAGGTGTCTCGGTTGAAATATGGCATCTGTGAAAAATGAAATTATTAACGATTCCGAACCTACGAACGGGACACATATCAACAAGTTTTATTTTTACGAGGTAAGTTTTTCTGTTTTTTGTAAGTTAACATCTAGTGTGATATTACGAATATTTGAAATTTGTGTTGTACCAGTATATTGATAATCATGTATAGGTTTTAGAAATTTACTATTTAAAAATAAAAATGGAAGAAAAATTAACATTAAAAATGTATGGGTTTGCGATAAATTGTTTTATAATTATTTAGTGTCGGTTAGGAAATTAGAGAAACATGTATTAAAGATTATTTTTAAAAATAATAAGGTTCTAATTATAAAAGAGCATAAAATTATATTAGAAGGCAATCTAAATAATAAATTGTATAACTTCAAATTTTTCTAATATAGTTCGATTTAATTTTTTCGTACCCCCATTTTGCTCTGGACTATATGGAACTGTATATTTTACTCTTAATACCTTATTTCCAAAGTATTTTTAATTCCCTTATTTAAAAATCTTTAAAAGTATTTAAACCATACCCTCAACCTCAACCTCAAGTTTTATTTCCAAATTTTGTTGGCCAAAAATGAGACAGTGACACTTTCTCATTTTTTTTTCCAATAATGGTCAACAAAACTGACAAAATATTTCTTCTGAAATACCAATTCTTTTCCACACAGAAAAATCCTTTTTTGTAATTTTTAAAAACGTAATTAATCAAGTTTCCTTTTTTGATGACCTTTTAAAAATTCACTTTAATTTTATAAAAAAATATTGGTGATACTCATGAAAAGCAAATATATGATAAAGTATGTTGATTCAATTAATTTTCAATGGAATGCCCGCTCTGCGATTGCTAATAAGCTTAGTTCAGTCAAAGCTTTAAAATAGTACAAAATTGATATAGCCTTAAATAGCGAGTTCCGGTTTAAGCCAAACAAAAATTACCATTTTATCGGGTAATCAATTATCCAGATAGATGGAACAAAGGTTACAACGGGTGTTGCAATATTAATAGAAAATAATTTAAGTTTTAATTTAATCACTGTAAACAAAGCTTGAAGCGACCGGTGATTTTGTCAGTTACGCGCGCAAAATCAATTTTAAATAAAATTTGTATCAAATCGATGATAAAAATTTGATATCTTTTGATAAGAGTGGCCTATCGACAAAAATTAAAAAACGTTTTAAAATTCAAGAGTGCTTTCAAATCTATTCAAAATTTATACCGTAAAATTTTGATTTTGAGTTTTGCCAATAAATGTGAGGCATTTGAAACATCCCCAAAAAACTCTGAATTTAAACTTTCACATTATAAACAATCCAAAACGTTTAAAACTGCTTCTTTTTGATTTATCACATGCGTTTTTTGAAACTACACAATTTAAGCTGCAAATTCCACACAATACCGTTTTCTTGAAGACCTTTCCAATTACGTGTCATGGTTTCTACTTTAAAAGTGGAAAATATGCGTTTGTTATATACATTTTAAATGCCTCATATTTGTTGTGCAAAAGCATTTTATTAATTAAAAAAAAAATAAATAAATAAAAGTGAAATAAAAAAAACTGCTTGAAGAACTGGAAAAACAACCATGGATGCATGGATACAAGACTGGATACTATTAGAAAATAGTATACAAAATTGGATAAAAAATATATATTTTTTGTAAGTTCAACTATTGTATAATGTAAATTTTTTTACCATTGTTATATTGTTTTTAAAATATTAACTTCAAAAATAATCTGTCCATTAATGCCTTCCAGCAGCAACTTCTTTATTGTCCAACGGATTTTGACAGGATTTACCACAAAATTCTACCTAAAAAATTGTTGGTTTTTAGTTGCATTCATCTTGTTTTATTCAAATACTTAGGTACAGTCTAAATATTAAAAACCTCTAGATATTCTTTTCGATATTATGTATTAGGATAGATGTAAGTAATCGTTTGTTAGTCTTCCAGTAAATTACACATGTTTGTGTATTTCAAAAATCAGATCACTGATGGTTTTAGAGCTTTTTGAGCAACAATTTTTAGCTCAAAGAGAGTCACCGAACTATTTTTGCTATGTATAATTACTCTTTAAACTATACCTGATAAATTATTGTTGTATGGAATTATTACTATTAGGTGAATTTTCTCACCAGTTCGGGCAGTGGAGATTTATTTCTGTAGAAAAATCTCTTTGCCTTCCTATCCGGTAAGACTGGTGTTATCGTTCATAATAACAAGATGTTTCCGAATTCTATTCTGCAGTAGATAACCAAATATTGGGATGGTATTTTCGGCTATACAATATAAAATATACTCCAGTGACGGCTAATTGCTTTAAACAGGCCATTCACGTTCCGATTTTTGGAAAAATCGTTTTTTTTTTGGGAAAAAATAACAGGACAGTACACCTACCAACAAATTGTAAGTCTGGAGAAAAAAAGAATGTTACTAACTAACCAACAGGATATAGTAGATGAACTAGCTGATACTTATCAAAAATTCTCATCCAGCCAAATTTACAGTAACGAATTTCTAACCTACAAACAAGACAAAGATGCAGTACCTATTTCAATATATGACGATTGCAACCCAATCAATACACCACTTAGTTATAGAGAGTTTCAAGATGCACTTAATAGCATGAAAGACACTTTACTAGGTCCAGATGACATACCAACACAATTTATTAAAAAACTTCATATAGCAAAAGAGATTCTGCTCAAAATTTTTAATATTATTTGGTCACAAAAATCATTCCCAAAAATCTGGAAAAATCCATTGTTATCCCGATTATCAAAGCAAATAAAGATAAATTACACCCAAATTCATATCGTCCTATCTTAATGCGGTCCTTGGAACACAATGATCAACTTATCATAGAACAAGCTGGATTTAGTCCAGGTAGATCAACAAACGACAAGATTATCGATCTGGAAAACGTATATTGAACATTCTAAACAAGCTGGGATATTAAGGAAATATTTTGGCTTACATAAGCAATTTTTAAACTTAAAGAACATTTCAAATCCGAGCAAACAGTGCTATATCTTATATTAGAGAACAACAAAATGGAATCCCACAAGGATCGATTATCAGTCCTACTCTATTTTTAATAGCAATAAACGATATAATAAAACAGATGTGGCAGTCCAGTGGGACTGCTGGTAGAGGTTCAACTTCTATACACGCGTTCATCGTTATAAATTGATATGGGAGTCAATCTGCACAATTATTACATACGTAATGCTATAGGTAAGAGAGAGCAGAAAGAGAAAAAGAATTAGATATATAGGTATATGGTGCATCGTTTGAATGATTAAACACTATGGATAATGAATAAATGATGAACACTTAAATAAACTAGTAAATTGGTCCCTAAGGTCTGGTTTTAGTTTTTGTTCCAATAAAACAAAGTGTATACTATGTCCAAAGAAATATATCGAGGATAAACCAAACCTTACTCTTGAGAATCAAAATCTTTCCTATACAAACGAAATAAAATTCCTAGGAATAATATTTGATCAACAGTTAAATTGGAAATGTCATATAGAGCAGTTAGTTATTTTATGTCGAAATGGCCCTAATTTGTTAACGTACCTAGTTCACAGAACTAGGGGTTCTGATGGTAAAACACTGCTTATGTTATATAGATCCCTAATTCGTTCAAAGATCGTTCTAAATCCTTTAAATACGTTACATAACACCTCCCTAAGGATCAAAATTGGGACATATAGAACAACTCCGACAAATAGCATACAAGCTGAAATAGGTTAACCTACGCTTAAGCTTCGAAGACAGGTCTTAACCCTAAACTACGCTCCTAACATACATGTAAATAAAAGAATTTTAAGAAACATTTTAAACATATCTATGACTCGTCAAATTTCAATCTTGCATATTTCTGCAGAATCCATCATGCAATGAAACTATTTATCTACAAACAATTTCCACCCTTATATCAAAATATATCTTCATGTCCACCTTGGTCTATTAAAATTCCAATACTCAACTGTAGTCTATTACAATTCCAAAAAAATAGCACTAACCTCAATCGTATCATACAACACTTCAGAGATCTAATTAACTCTCATTCCGATTACACAGTATACTACACAGATGCGTCTTAAACTGAAAATAGAGTCAAAGTGGCAATAATTAACAACACAGAATCCAGATGCTGCAACCGTATTCACAGGAGAATTTTATGCAATTTACTATGTGCAAATGCGAATAAGGTGAACAAAATGTTAATCGTGACAGATTTTATGTAATCACTACACCTAATCAAGAAAATATACACCCAGTATCCATTAGCTTTACTAATAAAGGAACAACTAAATAAATTACATGCTAAAGATATAAGTATCAAGTTTCTCTTTGTCCCATCACATGTTGGAATAGCAGGTAATCAAGCAGCCGACCGAAATGCCAAAGAAGCCATAAATGACAATAGTACCCAAATATGTCTTCAATCTATTAGTATGGATCGAAAAAGCTACTTTATGAAACATATTTTCGAGATCTGGCACAATAAATGGAAATCCACATCATGAAAGCTTGAGGAAATAAAAAATAAAACTGTACCATGGCTACCACCCGATGTATCTAGACGTAAGCAAATGATTATTTCCCGTTTACGACTTGGACATACCCAGTTTTCCCATGAACATGTGTTTAACAATGAAGAACGCCCAATTTGTGATCAGTGCGGTTCATCCCTTACAGTAAAATATGTGCTAGTGGAAAAGTGTGAAAAATTCAATATCCATACAACTAAATACCATTTACCAAACAAACTTAAAGACATTTTAAACTCAAATAAAAACATTGATAAACTACTTTTGTTTTTAAAAGATTGTAATTTAATAAGTAAGGTGTTATTAATCGTTCCGCTAATAACCTTATTAGGTTAAAGCGGGTTTTTTGTATATAAAAAACCCTCATTTTAAAGGATTTTCTATAATTTTTTAGTAAAATTTTGTTACTTTCCAAATGGCGATTTTACATTATTTATAAATTGTTTATAAGTAAAAATAACGTTAGATCTTTTATTCATTTTTTTAATGCATATTGTCATCGCCAAATG